AAATACTGGTATGTTTCTTGCTTTTTTTTCATTAGGTAACAGAAGCCATATCTGGAAAAATGATCCATAATACTCAATATATAACAGGCTCCACTTATACTAGGTTTTCTAGGTCCAATGATATCAGCAAACACAACCTCTAATGGTTTACTGGTTTTCAGTTCATTTACCATAATTTCAAAAATTACCTTGTTTTCCTTTTTATTACACATATTGTAATCTACATACTTTATACAAGGTTTTAAATCTATACCAGTAGACAACTTCACAGTTTTCTTGATCATTTTGAAATGTATATGTCCCATACATCTATGGTGTAGATGAATACATTCATCACGAGGCTTCTTATTCTCATAAACGGAGTTAACGTTGCTTGATGGATCATAATTTATAATAAACAAACCATTTTCCAATCTTGCAGTAATACTTTTACCTTGTTTGTCTATTAAACAGGTATCTCCCTTAAATGTTACTACAAATCCTGCTTTTTCCATTTCTCTTACAGATAGCAAATTAAACTTCATTCCAGGTACATATAACATTGGTAAACTTTCATTTATACATGAAAAATATGCAGTACCTTCTCCATATGCTTTCATTTTCCATCCATTAGCTAATGATATATGCTGTTCACTCTTTCTCATGTTAATAAATCTCTCTTCACTTTTAGTTATACACTGTGATGCTCCACTATCAACTACCCATATATCATGGTTTACATTTGTAGTTATATTTGATATTGCTAAACTAACATTCTTATGAGCTCTCTGTATATTATTCTGTTTCTTACCCTTCTTACAGTATCTAGCTATATATCCTTTAGCCCCACAAGAAAAACAGTTCCTAACAATATAGGCAGTTGAAGACAGTTTTTTTTTCCTGTGGTTGTCTTTCTCTCAGTTGAATTCTATCTTGCCTTCTTCTTGATTCTTCTAACAGTCTTCCAGTTATGCCAGTCAATGTAAGTTCATCTCTGTTTAAAACTTCCAGTGAAGATACATAATCATCATAAGTTTCATCCAAAGAAAAAAGAATAATGTAAACCTGTTGCAACTCAGAAAAAATCAGTTCTTTTTCTTGTAGCTCCTGAAAAGTCCTTTTCATAAACTCCAAATGAGCTAACATATTGCCACCTTTTATAAGACAAGCTTGAAATAGTTTACGTGTAAGGTATATGTGGGCACCTACACTATATCGAACATAAATCTTCTTTAGAATGTCCCAACATCTAGCAGCAGATTCTTGATCATGAATGTGGACTAGCTGCGGATCACTCAGTGTCAGTCCAATTATACTAAGAACCTTTTCATTATCTTGGTTAAATTCAGCTATTTTTCTTTTTATCTTCATCAATCGATGGATCCAAAGTTGTTACATCCAGTGGATTATTCAGTACAGTCCATAATCCTTCTTTACGCAGAAATAGGCTGCACTTCATAGACCAGGAAACATAGTTTGTTCCATCCAACTGGGTTATCAGGGATAAACTGGTTGACTGTTCTTGTGCCATTGTAACATTGTAAATATGAAACTGTATATTCACACTGGTTCTCAATATCTCACTGGGCCCATAACCAATGTTAGGATAATGTGCAGAGTAACCCTTGTATAAAAAGGATATGCACACAGAAAATGGTTTATGAGAACAGTTATGAAGAAATATACAGCCATACAGAGTTGAACAAGTTGTATTAATGTTCACTTGAAGATATAGCACAGTCCAATAAACAGTCCATGTCATACACATTTTTAACAGTCCAGAAATATCCATTTATAAAGTCTTCTTACATCTAGTTATAAAATCTTCTTACCGATTCCATGTCTTTTACAGCAGACAAATATCAAACCATAATACAACAAATAACCTTCGATATCAACAGAATAAACAGGGTGAGTCAGTTTCTGTCCGTAGTCAGTCAGTATCATTATCAAAAGAGATCATCAGTGAAAAAGAGAAAGAGAATTAAACCATGATCTATAGCTCCCTCTTATGGCAAGTTGTAGCATAATTAACCAACCAGAACACAGCCTAATACATTACAGTATTTTTCCATAAAGCTACAAACATATATATTTGTAGTTTATATATTGTCAACCCAACTACGTTATTTACATATACATAACAAGCCCGACACGTTAACCTGGAAAAGATGGGGTCTACTGCTCCTGTTGTTGCCAAACCTGCTAGATGTCCATGGAACTGACATCCCATTACAGGCACAACCACCTGACAGGAACTGGTGTGTGTGTGGGGGGGGGGTTGCCACTCCTCTACAGAGTGGCTTGGCACAGCGCAATGGAACAAAACAGCTGATGAAGAACGGCTATTGGGTTTCTTTTTTATTATTTTTAAGCCGATCAGAGCTTTGTCTTGGTTTTGCTGTGTGTTTGCACAATAGATGAATATGAGGGGGGAGTAATTGGATATGTGGGATGGAATGTGGTGGGCGTGATTAGCGTCAGCAGGTTAGCTGCATTTAGCATTGCGGGTTGGAGGCGAGTGGGATTAATTGGGAGGGAGGATGCTAGTTAATAGAAAGGGGTGGGACTGGGTAATAAAAAGTGCTGAGAGGCAGATGCTCTCAGCGCTGGCTTAATTCGGATTCACCGATTGTTGCTGGGTTGGAAGAAACGGATTATAATAAATACATTCTTTCTCAACAAACTGTGAGTAAAGTAGTTTATTGTTGAAGATTCTACAAGTTCCAACGGAAGCTAACACTGGTCCGTAAGCAATCAGTTCTGAGTAGTTTTCATCCCATGCTTACTTTTTCCATTAAAGTATGGATCCATGAATTGAAAAAATGAAATCTGGTTTAGAAATGACCATAATTTTCTTGTAAGGATTAAGTTTTTTCTAGATTAAGAAATTATCAATTCCTCCTCCAGTTTTCAAATCTGTGAAAAATACTCATAACCAGGGGTTGGGACTCTACTGGTTCTGTCCGGCTCTGTAGAACTGGTAGCTCTGAAGAGCAGCAGACATAGAACCAGTTCTATGTCTGCTGATGGTTTGGCCCATCCACCCGCCCGGGCTCTTATCTGACCTTTATTTCCTGCTTTTTCAACCTCAGCTGCCGTGTGAGGCACAGCTGCAGTTGAAAAAGCTGGAAAAAATTGCTTTTTCAAACGCTGCTTCTCTGCACGGAGTGCTGCTCAGCTGTCCAGGCAGCAAGCTGATGATGATTTACAGGCACGCACGCAGCATGCAGGAAAGCACATCGTAAGTCACTGAACATCATAAATCACCGAACCAGTAGTTAACCCTGTCGGATCCCACCCCTGCTCATAACTGAGAAATCAGAATGTAGGCCATCTGGATGGAGATTGGTGATTCAAGCCTAAAATTCATGAGACATGTGGGTGTTGGTGTTAAATTTACTTTACTTACAAATGCTTTTCATACAAAATGTTCTTCAATCTTTGGTTAGTTATTTGTGATGGAATGTGCACTTGGAGAAGGACTGGGGCAGGAGTTCAGCAGCAGCACAGTTTGCTAGGGAGAATTCAATACATTACAGAAGGAAGCCCAATTAAGAGACCATACATTCCAAAGCAGGATGGAAAAGGAAGGAACAAGGTTCAGGGTAGTCACACCCTATAATCTATCTATTAGTTTGTAAAGTTATAGTTTTAGTCTGGCAAGATTCTGTCTATTAGGTGTAAGCGTTTAAATAATTGCACTAAATTGGATTTCACTGTGTTACCTTTGGGCTTGAGCTTGATATTATCAGATTCTGATGATCCAACAGAATTGAGCAAATTAGAGAACAATGTCAAATTGAACAAGTCTTGGGAACTTGGGTGTTAACCTCTGGAAAGAGTGCTTTGGTGATCACAAGAACTTTATCTGTGTCTCTAGTTGACTCACTCCTCCCATCAGGAAGGGGCTTTGCTGGGGATTGCTCCTTAATTACTGGAAGAAGTGAGAACAAGGATTATCAGTTGATACTAGCTTTAAAAATGTTTCAGCATAGTCTATAGAGCCTTTGGAGAAAGTCTTCCTCCAGAACTTTGAGAAAAATATCAAAGATATTGAAAAGGCTATCACTGATTACATCATACTTGAACTTATTTTGATTATCAGGGTAACTACCATAATCAATTGAATGAGACAGTAAGTGACCAGGAATGACACAATTCAGATATGTTTCTGGAGGTTGGTGTGCTTGGAGAAAGCATTGAGCTAAGTTTCTAGCTTAAAACTGAAATTTGATTCACTTGCATGGGAGCATCTGTCTATGTGTGCCATGTTTTGTTTTATCATGTTCCATGCTAAAATTATAGACTAGCAAAAGGCATGTCAAATGTTGAAATGAACCCCCATCTAGAACTTTGGGACAGTATGAGAAATTGGTGGGATAGTGAGTACTTAGACATAAACCTTCATGGAGAAAATGTGTTAGTATTTGTGCAGTTTCTATTATAATCCAGTCATGAAGACCCCTGAGCAATTTCCACAATTAATAAAGCAATCAGGTTAGCAAGGTAATGAAGCATAAAAAGCTTGGCTTTTTAAATAACACTTATTCTATCAGTTTCCAAAATAGCAATAGCACGTAGAATTATATATAGCTTCACAGTGCTTTATGGCCCTCTCTAAGCAGTTTTGCAGTGTCATCATATTGCCCCCAACAATCTGGGTCCTCAATTTTCCAACTTTGGAAGGGTGGAAGGCTGAATCAACCTTGAGCCCAGTGAGATTTGAACTGCCAAATTGCAGCCAGCCGGCAGTCAGCAGAAGTAGCCTGCAGTACTGCATTCTAACCACTATCCCACTGTGGCTCTGATATAATGATATAATAGCAGTTCTGACTCAGAATTTAAAGGCCAGATATCACATTACATGCATTTCACAGACAAAGCTCAGAAGAATAGAAATGCATAGTTGTGGCTGAATATCTTGAATAGTAGTCAGATTGACCCCATGATGGACACCCTGGGTCATCAGAATAATGCTGAAAAATAAAAATAGATTCAAATTGGATTTGACCATTAAATTATCTTCTGGCCATATATTGTTTTGTGTTAAGATGTGGGTTCAAGATTATGATGTAGCACTTGGGGAGAAATATGCAACCTAAAAGACCTGCAGTGGAAGCCAAGATAGAGAAGATCTCCACAACCACCATATATTTCCCTTTTGTGCTGAGATAGGCTGGGATGAAGGATACCCAAATGCTGCAAAACACAAGCATGCTGAAAGTGATTAGCTTGGCTTCATTGAAAGTATCTGGTAATTTCCTTGCAAAGAAAGCCACAATGAAACTAATGGTGGCCAGCAATCCCAAGTAGCTCAGGACAATATAGAACATGTTATCTGAACCTTCATTACACTGCACAATAATCTCATCAACCTGTGAATGTTTGTCTAATTCAGGGAAGGGAGGAGATATGACCAACCACACCACACAGATAACAATTTGAATGAAGGAGCCAAGGATAATGGCTGATCTCTCCAGACCTTTTCCTAGCCACTTCCTCATTGTGTTCCCTGGCTTGGTGGCCAGAAATGCTAGAACAACTATGATTGTTTTGGCCAAGATACAAGAAACTGAGATGGAGAAAATGGTACTAAAGATTGTTTGCCTGAGAAGGCAAGTCACTTTCCCAGGCCAACCAATGAACAAAAAGGAGCAGAGAAAGCAAAGGAGAAGAGAAGAAAGAAGGACACACGTGATGTCTCTATTATTGGCTTTGACAATGGGGGTGTTCCAGTGAAGAAAGAAAGTCAATGCCACCAAAATAAGGGTTGTAGAAAAGAAAATAATTAAGGAGGTCAGAATGATTCCTAAGGGTTCATTAAATGATAAGTAGCTGAACATTTTAGGAAGGCACTGGTCTCTTGCTGCATTTGAATATTGATCTTCTGGGCATCTCTCACATTGATCTGCATCTGAAACACAAAAAGAATGTCTTGTCATTTCCAAACATAAGGACAATTAACAGAGGTAACATAAAGAAATCATATTTGGTGAGTCCATTCACATAATCCTTTCCACTTACAGGTAGTCCTCAACTTGCAATCACACACAAAAATCACCATACAAAAATCATCATAACAACAGGATCCCCAATTATAACTTCAAAAAAGGCAACTATGATCTTATAGACAACGATCTCTCATCCCTTGATTGGCAATTTCTATTCACTGGATGCAATACTGTTGAAGACCATTACAACATATTTTTATTTGAAGTCAAAACAGTAATCAAACTATATGTACCAATAACAACTCCCCAAACCAGAAAAAACAAATTACCATATTTGCCGGCGTATAAGACGACTTTTTTGCCCTGAAAAACATGCCTCCAAGTGGGGGGGGTCGTCTTATACGCCGGTAAATACGTTGTCACTCGGTGCAAGAGCGACGGGGGCGGGGCTCCGCAACTTGCGAAGCTCCTTCAAGCCCAGCCGGACTCTCTCTTCCTCCTCCTCCCCCCCACCCCCCCCACCCTCCGCCCGGCTCGGGGCACTTGCGGAGGCCAATCTGGAAGTGGGGTGGGGGTGGAGCGGGAGGGTCTCTGGCGGGGCCGCTTCGCCCAGCCAGCCCCGAGCCGCGTAATGGCCCGGGGAGTGTGAGGGAGAAGGTGGTGGGGGTGGACTGTGGCGCCCCTCCTTCTGGGCAGCGGGGCGGGGGGCGGCAATTTGCTCCTCCCGCTTCTCCCTCCCTCTTTGAAAGACCGGGAGGGCTGTGCTTGGGGCGGGGGTGTGTGTCCTCGGGAAGTTCCTGATGGGACCCCACTGGGCAGGGCCACCCGGCTCCCGAGCTGCTTTCCAGGGTCCCCTTGGGAAGAAAAGGGTCCGGTGGGCGGTGGAAGAAGGCGAGGGACCTCCTCCCACCCCCTGTCCCATCCCATCCCTCCTCTTGTCCCCTCCTCACTTAAGAGAGAAAGATCCGCCTCCCCTGCACCGAGCTGCCACCCGGCGCCGCGTCTCCCGGCCAGCGCGCGCTTGCGACTTGGGAACCAGCCAAGCGACTTTAAAACCGAGCGGAGGCCAGAGATAGCCAGAATTACCCTCCACACCACACACACACACACACACACACACACAGAGAGAGAGAGTTGGCAGCTGTCTATCCCCCACCCTTGGAGTCCCGATGGCACGCACGCGGGGGCTGTCACAAAGAAAGGTAGAGGAATTGAGTGCCAGCCTGAGAAAGGCGAAGCTGCCTCTCTAAAGCATTTTGGTGGCTTTGTAGGTTTGGGGGAAAGGGGCGGGGGTGTCAATCAAGAATTATATCCAGAATACCCCAAGTGTTACAACTTACCGTATTTGCCGGCGTATGAGATGACTTTTTTGCCCTGAAAAACATGCCTCCAAGTGGGGGGGTCGTCTTATACGGTGAGTATATAACAAACTCTATATTTTGAGTGGAAATGTTGGGGGCTCGTCTTATACGCCCAGTCGTCTTATACGCCGGCAAATACGGTACCCAAAACAATAAGGAAGCTTCAATCCAAAAAGAAATCACTTTGGCGGAAAAACAAATTTGGTTACCTTGCCAACTTCAAAAGCTGATACAAAAATTTATGCCACCAGATAAAGACTGAATGCACCAATTATCACATTAAATAAGAGGAAAACCTTCTATGCAGCAATTACGCCTGCGCTTGCTACAATTTTGTAAACAACAAACTAAAAGACTCAAAGACCATCCCACCCCTGAAAGGACCTAATGGTAAAGATTGCAACGATGACACCATTAAAGCCAACCTCTTTAACACATTCTTTGGCTCAGTATTTGTAAACAGCAATGGATCATGCCCATTATTTCCTAGTTGAACCACAGACAACTACAATGATCTAATACATATCAATTTTACAGAAGACAATGTTGAAAAAGCACTACGCAATCTAAAACCATCTCTATCTATTGGACTGGATGGAATATGTGCCTACTTCTTAAAAAAGCTATCCACTGCTATAGCCGAACCTCTAAGCATAATCTTTGAAAAATCTTTCAGGACCAGCCCCTTGCCAAACCTATGGTCACAAGCCACGGTCATCCCCATCTTCAAAAAGGAAGGCCCCAGCCTAGTTGAAAATTACAGACCAATCTCTTTGTGCTGCGTCACCTGTCAAGTCATGGAATCAATTGTTAACCAATCCATTATCTTTCACTTGGAGACAAACAACCTACTCTCTAATAAACAATTTGGTTTCAGAAATTATCACATTAAAATAACTATCCTGTAATCTGCAACTCTTACACTGCAAAAACATATGGACTACACAACTCAATCAGGGCAAAGCAATAGATGCAATTTACATAGACTTCTGTAAAGCCTTTGATTCAGTGGTACACAACAAACTACTCCTAAAACTAAAATCTTATGGTATCTTTGGACACCTGCATAACTGGATAGAAGCATTCCTGTCAAACAGACAACAAATGGTCAAAATTGGAAGCGTCCTATCAAATTCTGTACCTGTCAACAGTGGTGTCCCCCAAGGCAGCGTTCTAGGACCAACTCTCTTCATACTCTACATAAATGACCTCTATGATCATATTAAGAGCAATTGTGTTCTCTTCGCTGATGATGTAAAGCTATTCAACATGACAGACAATACTTCTACCCTTCAAAAAGACCTCGAGTATGTATCAGAATGGTCAAAAAATGGCAACTTCAAATCTCAACAAATAAATGCTCTGTCTTACATATTGGCAAAAAAAATCAGAAAATAAAATACAAGCTGAATAGTCAAGAGCTTATTGATGATCCAAGCTCTGTCAAGGACCTTGGAATACTCACCTCTAATGATCTAAGTGCTAGAGCCCACTGTAACTACATAGCCAAAAAGGCATTAAGAGTTGTTAACCTAATCCTACGTAGCTTTTTCTCAGGTAATATCACACTACTAACTAGAGCTTACAAAACTTTTGCTAGACCAATACTCGAATACAGCTCATCAGTCTGGAACCCTCATTACATATCTGATATTAATACGGTAGAGAAAGTCCAGAAATATTTCACAAGAAGAGTTCTCCACTCCTCTACTCGTTGCAGAATACCTTATGCCACCAGACTTGAAATTCTAGACCTAGTCAACCTAGAACTACGTTGCCTTCAGTCTGATCAAAGTATAGTACATAAAATTATATGTTGTAATGTCCTACCAGCTTCAACCATAACAATACAAGAGCACACAATAGATACAAACTCAAGGTAAAATGCACCAAACTTGATTGCAGGAAATACAACTTCAGCAACAGAGTGTCAATGTCTGGAATACTCTACCTGACTCTGTGGTTTCTTCCCCAAACCTCAAAAACTTTAACCTTAGACTGTCTACTATTCACCTCACCCCTTTACTAAGAGGTCTGTAGGGGGTGTGCATAACTGTACCAATGTGCCTACCACTCCTGTCCTATTGTTTCTTTTTTTTCTTATTCGTATCCATTTCATGTATTCATAACTATGTTTATACTTATACCTGTTATCTTATAATCGCTTGACAAAATAAAATAAAATAAATAAATAAAACAATTGGGACCAGTATTTCCATTGCTAAACAAAGTGATTTTTAAATCAATCATGCCCGATCCATTTTTACTAAGGTTGTTATGAAAATCAATGCACAAGGTTGTTAAACAAATCTGGTTACCCACTTTGGTTTTGCTTATCAAAAGCCAGCAAAGAAGGTCTCAAATAGTGATTACACAACCCAAGAAATCTGCAATCACTGTAAAGACATGTGGTTGCCATGTACCTGTATTTTGATCAGATGAACTTGGGTATACTGGAACCACCTTAAATGTGAGACCCAGTCATAAGTCCATTTTTTCAGTAGTTTTTTTTTTTAACTTTGAATGATTGCTAAATGAATTGTTGTTAAGTCAAATATTATTTGTATAAAATAAAGCTTTCTTAACTCTAAACATTTTTTTTGTCTTATCCAATGTACACATTTTACTTTCCATGCTACTTGAAGGCCATTTTCTACTTTATTTTCTCTGAAATCCACTGCATCTCTCAGCATAGTGAAGGATAATATAAAAATGCATGCAAGTATTTAAATGATCTCCTTTTAAAAGTAAAAAAAAGCTACTTTACCATTCTTAGCCCTATTCCAGAGTAGCTGAGAATAAATCTATTATTCTACATACAATAACATATTTGGAAAAAATGGAAAATGTTTAGGTTTGAAAGCTTTTGAATTTCCAACTATATCATTTATTTTTAACTTGCCAGTTTGGACTGAAATTCTTCCTTCAGGACATTTTCTGCAATTGTAGCAACAGACATGTTTCCCCTCCTCAACAACCCTGCTGTAGCCCCGGGGGCAGCTCTCCACACATCTGGCATGGGGAGGGACCTAGAAATAAGGGTCAGGAAGATTTATGAGTAGAATTCACCAAACATTTCTTCAAAAATCTCACTTTGGGAGGGGGGGTTAGAAAGGGGACTGGTTGTAAATTCAAGGGAGTGCAAAACCTTTTGAGGGTGAAATGTCACAAGAATCTCTTGGTTGTGGAGAGTGTTCCATATTCCCAGCATGGTCAAAATGTATTCACCTTGAAATGACTATTTAAAAAACTGATTAATATATTGACAAATTGATATTTCAATGTTTCCCTATTCAGTGATAATGAATTTTTATAACAACTGCAGATAGAGACCTCATAATATTTAGATTTGAATTTAGAAACCTCAAATGCCTAAATGTTTAAATGAAGAGCATACAAAGCATGTATTCAAGGTAGAGTTATTGCTTATTCATCATAGAAAAATAAGATTCAAAATAAAAGGGAAAATTGAAAGATGGACAGAAACATTTATGCAACTCAGTAGAGGAAAAAATATTTTTCGATGTCCCACCTGTTGAAACTTGTGATTCCATACAATGGCATTTTCATTGAGGGTGAACTTTTTCCCATCAGGAGCTTTGGAGTCAATCCTTCCAACACAGACTCTCTGGAAAGATTGATTCTGAAAGACGACCAAATTGAAGATGTCGTATCCTGGATCAAAATCACCCTTCTCATCAAAAAAGATTTCATCTCTTGCACTGTTATTAAAACGGGTGTTTCTTAAAAAGTAGTGAAGCTGGGTTGAAAGGAGAGATAAAGCAAGATCAAACCAGCCCTATCTAAATATTCCTCCAAATTTGGCAACATTCACAATTCCAATAGAGTTTCTGTATCAGAGTTGTAACTGAAATCCATTCTGCCTAGATTCAGATATCACTTTAACCCATATACTGCAGCCCTTTTGACATTTTTTATACTTACCTGGAATATTTTAATAGACAAATTAACATTCTTTGTATCAGACAGAAGTCTCAAACCATTACTTCCTTTTCCAACTATTGCATAAATAAACAATAGGAAGAAAGAGGGCATCCCACATAAATATAGGAAGGTATCTCTATAGGTATTCCTCTATGGGTAAGAAAAGGAAGCACAGGGGACTATATAGCTCTCTTCTTCCTGAATCACGGCCTTGCTGAATTTCTTTCAACCTCAGTCCATACGTTTCTTCAATAAATATTACTTAAATATTTGGATATATCAGAAACTTAATTTAGCCTTTCTAACCCTTCTTATCCCATATGTTTGGACTGATATAATTGTATTCAGAGTGAGGAGTCCTTGAAACTCTCTGAGCTTGCTTGTTTTCTTGCAAAGCTAACTAAAGCCCTTCAAAATATCCTAAGTAAACCAAAAGACTCAGCAACCCTAGAAGAAGAAGTAGAAGTAATCTACAACATACAATGTAAGAACTTCAATAACCACTATGTAAGACATACAGGCAGAAGACTGGCAGAAGACTGGCAGAATGCATCCATGAACACCAACTGGCAGTCAGAAGACATGTTGAAAAATTATTTAATTTCACAACATATAGACAGATTTAACCATAGTTTCAACTGGGAAAATGTGAAAATCCTAGATCAGGTCAAATCCCAAAATGCCAAGGAATTTCTAGAAGCCTGGCATTCTGACAAATCAGCCATCAATGACACATAAACATTAACCACATCTATAGACTATGCAAAAGGGATGGTCAACCAGTCCCAAAGAGGAAAAGACTGCAGTACCTCTCTACTAGTAATCAGCACTCAGGTAGATTAACTCCAAGGTCATTCTGTATTATTTTTAAGCGATGATGATGATGATGATGATGATGATGATGATGATGATTATTATTATTATTTTACTATTATTTTGTAAGCGATTGACAAATCAAATAAATCAAATAAAAAAATAAATTTCATGCCAACAATCAAGGAAGCAATACCCCAATCAAAGAAAACTGCCAAAAAGCCATCAGTAAACAGCCCAACCAAAGAATCTCTTAGACCAACCCCACCCACCCAGACAGGCAAGATACCAGAATATAAACCGATAGCAAACAACCCTCTTTACTAGTACTCATGGCATTACCTAGTTAGACTAATGGAACATTTGCAAGAAAACAAGCAAACTCAAAGAGCATCAAGGACCCTTGTTTCAACCCTGAGCTACAAGTATTCTACTTTATTTATATCCTGAGTGTTATAATAAAATGAGATTCCCCCAACTGGGAGGGGAATTCTTGTAATGAAAGCTCAATCCAGTTAAGATTATCTCCTGGTGATTTCAGAACCACATAGGTTTCTTTTCAGCAGGGAAGAAATGGCTTCTTACTTCCTTATCTCAGGATTTATTTTTTAAATTCCTGGTCTTATGAAGAGAATGTGGTCTTGGTTTGTGTTCTGTCTTCGATTTATATTCTAGGTCGAAACCTGATTGATTTCTGGACTAAGATAAAACTGACCAGGTGCTTATTTAGCTAAGAATAGGTAATTTAAAAGTGGGGAATTTTCACTCTTAGAAAATGAATTTAAAATTAAATTGCATATCACCTTCATTAATCAATCACTGCAGATTCCTATGATAACTACTAAAACACATGTTGAAGCAGAATATTGTACACTGTGGTTCTTCAAAATTTGTAAATGCATCTGAATTTTCAATATTTTTGCAAAAATGTGATATAAAACATGAACTGTTCTCTATACAAGTTCCAAATTTCGATAAAGCGAACCAAATGAAACAAAAATGTTAAATTGTTATACATGTTCTTTAATTTAGTGAAAAAAAATGATCCAAACCTAATATTTGTGCATGCAAAAACAACACATGAACCTCTAGATCAGGAGTGTCAAATTCATGTCATCACATGATGTGTTGGGACTTTTTTCCCCTTCGCTAAATCCGGGGATGGGCACGGGCTGTGCATGAGGCATCCGGCCCACGGGCTGGGAATTTGACAGCCCTGCTCTAGATTATCTGTTCATTTGATAGTAAAGTGCTTTTATTAATGGGATGAGAATCAGTTGTGAGTATGAGTAGATCCTGCTTAATGGAAAGAGCTGAATTCTGGATATTCACTAGCGGATCCAGGTGGATCTCGACAGACTAGAACACTGGGCTATATCTAACAAAATGAAATTCAATGTAGAGAAAAGTAAAGTCCTACACTTAGGCAAGAAAAAACAAAAGCACACTTATAGACTGGGTGAAACCAGGCTCAATAGCAGTAGCTTTGAGAGGGATCTTGGAGTCTTAGTGGACAACCAGCTAAATATGAGCCAGCAGTGTGCAGCAGCCACCAAAAAAGCTAATACAATCCTAAGTTGTATTAACAGAGGGATACAATCAAGATCAAGGGAAGTACTAATACCACTCTATAAAGCCTTAGTAAGACCACACCTAAAATACTGCATCCAGTTTTGTTCATCACATCATAAAAAGGATGTTGAGACTCTAGAAAAAGTACAAAGAAAAGCAACCAGGATGATTAGGTGACTGGAGGCTAAAACATATGATGAATGGTTGCAGGGCATGGCTAGTCTAGTAAAGAGAAGGACCAGGGGAGATATGATAGAGGTCTTCCAATATTTGAGGGGTTGCCACAGGGAGGAAGGGGTCAAGCTATTTTCTAAAGCGCCTGTAGGCCAGACAAGGAATAATGGATGGAAACTGAACAAGGAGAGATTTAACCTGGAAATAAGGAGAAACTTTCTGACAGTGAGAACAATTAACCAATGGAACAGCTTGCCCTCGGAAATTGTGGGAGCACCATCACTTGAGACTTTCAAGAAGAGATTGGACTGCCATTTGTCAGAAATGGTTTAGGGTCTCCCGCTTGGGCGGGGTGTTGGACTAGATGACCTACAAGGTCCCTTCCAACTCTGATTATCTGGTTTGAATTGGGGGACAACTCTTTGGCATGACTGAGAAGCATGACGAACTGAATTGCCAATACATAATAACTAACAGTTTCATTTATTACTGCAGATGAACAAATCCAGAACTTTTATATTCCTCATTCCTTTCCTATTCACTTCCTTATATAAATATATCTGAGAAGAGTGATGACATACTTCCCATGGCTGAAAATTTGAAATTTTTGCTTGTTTATTCCTATTCCTCAGGGAATTTGTTTTTTCTCTGCTTGAATGCATAGTTTGCAGAGCATGTGCTACAGAACTAACTCCATTGTAGATATTGTAGCTCTCTCCAGACATAGTCATTTCAAACACAGAGTCAGGGGCTCTCGCTAGTTCTTCCTTCCCAGTGCAGTGTTTTACTTTTTTGGGATATGGAGGGAATGAACAGGAAAATACAGACTCCCAGAACCAATCAATGTAAAATGAGGAGTGTAAATAAGAGCTTATATTCCCAAGAAATTTCTGGAAATGTGGCACCGTGTTTGTGTGGAGTGAGAAGTATAAAGAACCATTGAAAGTTTGGGTTGGAAAACTCCTGATTGCGATTGTCATAACAGTGAAGTCCCACTGAGAGGTCACAATCCACACTCTGTGATATACTGAGTTTTTATTGGACTTTTCAGATAAATACAGAGCCCATTGTAAAGCCTCCATAGATTGGACAGTCCCAGAGGCAAGGAACACACTGATTTTCTTTACTAAGATAGTGTCTTTTATATAAGATATATGTGCAGAAAGGACGTGCATATTTAAGGATCGATCTCTCAAAAGTCGGATTGACTGCATCCAAGCAATGCAAATATCATTCTGGAAGAGCTTTGGCTGGATATTTTGAAGAAAGACTTCCCCACTCTCATCATCTGATGCTATGAGGCCAATCCAGTTCCATCCAAAATGTTTCAGTAAATGAACAATCCCCTCATATTGTATATTTTCATTGGGAACCATACTGAAGAAGAAAGGGAACTGCCTTTTATCACTTAGGATTGGGTCAAATGATCCATAACTGATCTGTTTGAGAAAAAGATGCATAGAAAATTAAATGAAGAATCCTTTTGTCATCCCAAAGAATATAGACATAAGGGTTGAATTAGAAAATCCCTTCAAGATTTTCATTGGCATTAAAATGGAACATTGAAATATTGAATGACTACTTTAAAACAAACATGTATATCTATACTAGGATTACATAAATTTGATTAATGTAAAAATATTATTATTATTGCTACTTGTATCAAAATGAATTATACCCAAAGGCCACACTATTTATGTATTGATATTGATGAATATTTAAAACTAAAAATCCAATACAACTTTAAAAAAAATCCAGAGATCTTCTTTGAATACTTTTGCTAAAGAAACTGATCTGTGAAAAATGGCCATACCTATGGAAAGTTATAGTTGTTCAATTTAATTACAGAACCTTCAAAGTTACCATGAAAATTGACATGGAAGAAGGAAATCATAAGTTTCACAATAATGGATTTGGAAAGCTAAAAATTGGGAAACGTGGAAGACTTCATTGCCCATCTTTTCTCATCACTGGACACCTTAATTGATCCTGAGCATCGGTCTTTTGCTAAAGAAGCTGTGAAAAATGCCCATACCTGTGGAACCTTATAGGTATTCAAAATGTGGGCCATCTGGATAGAGTTTGGGGTGGGAAGGTCACCAATGATGGGCAAAAAGTCTGTTTTGCTCCTTTGGACACAATTGAAGTTGATAGCACTCCCTCTATTCTGAAAAAGAAGATCTAAGACATGCTTACTGGCCTCCCTGACATTGAAACTGTTCTCATAGATATCCAGGACTAGTGTGGTGTTAAGGAACTGCTTGATGTTCTTGTTGATCTCATAAATGGTAAAATACATAGAAAGAGCATGCTGGAAGATTTTGGGAATCAGGCTGAAAAAAAAGTGCACAAGGACACATAATTATAACAAGAACTGCATCTAGTTGTAAACCATATAGGCAATTTCAGCAATTTGACTAGAGAAGAATAATTCTAGATTTCAGTAAAAGTGCTTTTTTATCTGAATATTTTTGGAAGTCCTTCCTGACAGACACAATGATGCTCCACTTGTTCTAAAGTCATCTCCTGACAGAGATTATATTTGTCCTATTAACCAATACAAATTAACTGATACAAACTCAAGGTAAACCACTCCAAACTCGATTGCAGAAAATACAACTTCAGCAACAGGTCAATGCCTGGAATGCCCTACCTGGCTCTGTTGTTACAAGCCCTCACAGCTTCAACCTCAAACTATCTACTGTGGACCTCACTCCATTTTATGTTCATATTTATACTTATTATCTTGTTCAAGTTTGACAAACAAATACATAAAGACTAGGAACACCAACCTATTAACTTAATCAGTCAACCATGGCTGGATATACTATATGTTAATCTTGGGAAGTACTGTAAGTTATGTGATCATCAGGTATGTAAGATAAACTTTTAGTTCACATTTTGCTGACATTTTCAAGTTCCTTGCTTCAATCACTGTTGCGGAAAGGTTTTCTTTAGACTACTGTTTCAATGTTACCATCTATCTTGTTTCTTCAACAACTGCTGCAAAGAGTTATATGCAACCACACACTTCAATCAACAGATGTTAAAATTTAACATGAAAATAAATCTTCACACTGTTCTTTCAAATCTACTAATATTGACCAATTTTTTTTTCATCCACAAGCATCAGGAAATAAACAATTTGGTGAGGATGCTAAAAACTGCCCTTTTCCCCCTTAAGGGAACCTTTTTGAATTGTAGTCCCTTTGAAATTCTTCTCTTATAGGATTTCTAGAGACAATTATACTTTCATTTTGTGAAAATCAGATAAATGCTTTGAAAGCCCCCTGTATTAGCTATAGTAGTAATTTGCTACTTAACTGCTTGAAACTCATCAGATTTGTACTCACTGCATTTTGATGGAAAACTTTTGTCCCAGTACTCATTGTTTGTTTGGTACTCATGCATAAGCTAGAAGTTATGGGTATTGAGCTGCCTTGTGACTCATTACATTATTCCTTATGGGAAAAATTCAGTACTCATTGTTTTTAGTACTCATTGCACCTCCTGGAATGAATTAATGATGAGCACCTAGGTACCACTGAATATGGAAAAAGGTTAGTAGCTTAATTACCCCATTTTGCATGAATTCTATGGAACTTCCATTCTTTAGGTAAAGAGAAGAACAGTCTTGGAGTTGTCCCCCCCCCCCCCCCCAAAAAAATCAGTTTTCTGGAGGTTTATGTTAAAATGCCTTTTCAGATTTCAAAAAGTAAGAAGGCACTTAACAGATAATCAGAGTTGGAAGGGACCTTGTAGGTCATCTAGTCCAACCCCCTGCCCAAGTGGGAGACCCTACACCATTTCAGACAAATGGCAGTCCAATCTCTTCTTGAAGGTCTCAAGTGATGGCGCTCCCACAACTTCCGAGGGCAAGCTATTCCACTGGTTGATTGTTCTCACTGTCAGAAAGTTTCTCCTTATTTCCAGGTTAAATCTCTCCTTGTTCAGTTTCCATCCATTATTCCTTGTCTGGCCTACAGGTGTTTTAGAAAATAGCTTGACCTCTTCCTCCCTGTGGCAACCCCTCAAATATTGGAAGACCTCTATCATGTCTCCCCTGGTCCTTCTCTTTACTAGACTAGCCATTCCCTGCAACCATTCGTCATATGTTTTAGCTTCCAGTCCCCTAACCATCCTGGTTGCTCTTCTCTGTACTTTTTCTAGAGTCTCAACATCCTTTTTATGATGTGGTGAACAAAACTGGATGCAGTACTTTAGGTGTGGTCTTATTAAGGCTTTATACAGCGGTATTAGTACCTCACTTGATCTTGATTGTATCCCTCTGTTAATGCAATTTAGGATTGCATTAGCTTTTTTGGCTGCTGCTGCACACTGCTGGCTCATATTTAGCATATTTGTCCACTAAGACTCCAAGATCCCTCTCACAGTTACTTACTTTCCATTAGCTTTGTTGGCTGCTGCTGCACACTGCTGGCTCATATTTAGCATATTTGTCCACTAAGACTCCAAGATCCCTCTCACAGTTACTTACTTTCCAGATGTAGAAACTTCTGGCTGTTTTTTGAAAGTCTGTATCCGTTCATGAATATTTATAAAGGAAAAAAGTCCCCCAAGTATCATTTCAGATTTGGAGTTGTGAAATTTTCCAGGAATGTTGGAGGGCTGGATACAGATGGATTTCAAACTCTCATGGACACTCTCAGGAAGGAAGAAGAAGAGAAGAATAATTTTAAAAGAGAGGAATATTGGACCACCATCCCATCTTTTCAAGTACATGCTCAACAAAATACAGTCGTCTCCTTTGCAAGGAACTATTGTCTTGACTAGACTAAATTGAAAAGCTATAAGATTTTTTTTTACAGCAAAAATAAAAAGTTGGATGGTAAAATTTCCCAATAAGAACTCTTTATCTGATTCTGCTAACCACTGAGATCTCAGTGCCACAAGGCAAAGGCGCCACTTTGGCACTCTTTCAAAGCGTGGCACATCAGACCTTTTCTTTTCACCCATCAGTTCTCGTGCAGTTTTGATATACTGCCAAGCAAACAGAACTGGAACACACACAGTCTGATAATTAGAAGGTGAGTAATAACCTTCTCCAAGTTCTCTATTCCCTAGTAAAAGATAAATGAGTCCCTGTGGATTTTAGTCTGCTGTGTTGACTGTAGGGAGTAGTGCTCATCTCCATTTCAAAGTCATAATGTCACAGAGCTCTGTTAATCTTATTCCCTAGCGATTTAGAGAAATTTTGCTTGTGTGTCTATGAAGATTCTCAGTCATCCAGGTCATGGATGTCCCAGAAGTGCTTTTTCAAGACGCAACTGAACTTTCTTGTTTTTCTTTGAAGATGTTTCACTTCTTATCCAAGAAGCTTCTTAAGCTCTGATTGGATGGTGGCAAATGAAAGGATTTATACCCCTTGCAGACAGCTAGTCATTTGCATTCTTTTAGGGAGTCCTTGGGGCCACTTGGAGCTTTATCTATGGCCTCAGAGTTACCTGAGTACTGCAAATGGGTGTGGAGCCTTCTTGGCTGCAGGATGTTTTCTGCCTTTTGTCTCTTTACTGTTGAAGATAGGCACAGGCTGTTAAGGATGAGCCTATATCAGGGGTGGGCAATTAATTTCTGTCGGGGGCCACATGGAAAATCAGATCTGCGTTCGAGGGCTGAACCAATTTTATAAAAGGCCATTATAAAGGGCCCATTATAAAATGCAGCAAATTATATATAAGAATATTATATATATATGTGTTATGTCTCACCTATATTCATAGGTGAGAATACAAAGTTTCACAGTTCAAAATATCCAAACAAGAACAAAACCAGACTTAAAAGGGTTAACAGTACTGTTTTC